ATATATATCTACAAGCAAGTCTAAACTCATCTATTATAAAAAACATCTTATAAGTCTTTCAACTATTTATAAGAACATTAAATTTCTGCATAAATTCAATAAATTAACTAAAAAATGCCTTGATGACACTTAAACGTAGTAGCAATCAACCCTAAGCTTGATATAGAATATATTAAATCTGTTTTTTTTAGATACTAAATTATTATTAGTAGGTCTTTATATTAAAGTTAAACTTAAAGAGCAAGCATTCAAGACTAATGTATTCAAGAAGCCTTTCAATCTAGAATTGATAATTATAATGCAAATTTATCTTGAATGATTGACTTTATCTTAAATTAGAAAGAAGAATCATCATTCTCAATAGATGTCTGGATAATACTAAAGTAGATAAACCATTACTGATTAATGATAATGATATCAAAAATGAAGTTATTAGACATTTTTAACAAATTGCTGATATCATCCACAATGATAAGGAAATCCCTAAAGATTGGATTTCAATATATCAACTAATTGATAATATTAATCCAATCATCTACAACTAATTAACTTTACCATTATCAGCAAATGAATAGTACATGATTATTGACCGTTTATTAAATGACAAAGCTACAAATCCTTCATCAATTTCTAATGAAATACTCAAACACCTAGGCCTTAAAGCCAAAAAATACCTATGGTTGATTATTTGTAGATGTTTTTAGTTCTTTTCTATTTCTACGAGATAGAATTTCGCCTATATTTATCTGATTTCTAAGCCCAAATTCTGAAAGTTTAATCTTAATAATACTAGACCTATTATGCTCTTAGAATGTTTAAGAAAAGCCTTTGTCAAACTACTTAATGCTAGATTAATTTTAACTTATATTCAGCACAATATTTTAAAAGGAATAAATTTGTCAGTCTGCCTTTTAAATCCACCTTCAATCCTATTTACATTTTCAATAACATTAAATAAGATGCTATTTCCAATAAGTTTGAGCTATAGGTCCTCTTTCAGGTTATGTCTAAAGTATATAATCATGTTAATATTTTCACTTTAGTTAAGGCAATAGAAAGACTCAAAATTTCTTTCAATTTTATCTGCATTATAATGAAATTTTTTATTCCAAGATTTAATAGAATTTTCACATCATATGGTAATACTGATCCTTACTTCGTATTTTCTGATATTGACTAAAGAAAAGTTATTTTGCTATTATTGTGATGTATCTATTATAACCCCTACTATATAGAGTCTAAAACTTAACACACAGATATATGATAAACTGTAGCTAGTGATCTGATATTCATTTACCTGCTACTAATTCTCTCATAAAAAGAATCCTTGCCTTAATTTTAATAAATAATACGCTTTAGATCATTAAATTAGCTGAAGATTTCTCTTTAATTATTAACATTGCTAATAGCTTCTATACCTTCAATGATATATAGGTCAATTGGTCTAAATTAAAGTTGCTAGTGAATAAAGCTTAAAGTGATCCTTTTATCATCTCCAATAATGACAGTATCAATCAAATTATTGTACATAAATCCAAAGAGAGTGTTAAGTACTTTAGTGTCTGAATCTCATTAAAAAATAATAAACCTTTATTATCAATCAAATTCACAAAGAAATCAAATCTGCTATTACAATTATGCAAAAGAAAAGATTAACAGATACGCAATTAACTTACATTTTTAATACTATTATTCTTTTATATATTGAGTATAGATTATAACTCATGTTACTCTCAGAATAATAATGCTTTAGAATTATAATTATCTACGTGACTTTTATTTAAAAATAATTGTATTTTCGTAAAAAACATTCTTTTTCTTATTCCTGTCCTATTATTTTTATAACATTACTCCTCTCTATCAAAGACTTATTCAGAACTTTAGCAGCATTCTTTTGCAAATGGTCAATGAACTAAACTTGTTAGGTCTTACTTTTAACATTCATATACAGTACTTACAAAATAAGGAATGGTTATATAAAAATCTCTTAAAATTTTAGCTATATAATGTCTACTGCTTCAAAGATAACTGGCTTCTATTTTTACTCAACATTCTCAACAAACTCTATATAAATATCAATATTCCTTCTGACAACTTATGTCTGATAACAGAAGGTAACATTCCAATATTTGATCTTATCAAGCTTATCTACAAAACTTATGCTTATAACCTTAAGAAATACTATGTCTTTTTTGTCAAGCAGTTAGTTAACTATTATAGTACTTATATATTCTTTTATAAAGACCTTTTTTAAATTACTTATCAAAATATAAGATTCGCTAGGATATCTAAATGATTTGCTTTTTGGAATAACATTTATAACCTTCTCCAGAGAGATTTATTACCAGATTATTTTTTCATCATCAATTCTATGAATGTAATCTGCACTAATAAAATCTTGTTTCTAGCAATAAATCATATGCTATAGATTAGAACTATATCATTAACAACTTTGTTGTTGGAAGAGTTATTCAAGCTGACTAAAACAACTTATATATCAAATACTATAATTATGAAAGAAGTTTTGATCATAGTACTAAGTTAATCCCTTGTCCTCATTATTCTCTTTGCCAACAATCAGCTGCTGATTCAGATAGATTTAACTACTACTTTACTATTCCTTGAGAATACTATGCAGCCTTTTCAAATAATTATTATTCTGATTTTTATTTCATAGTATATCTATAGATAATCTTAATGAACTTGCTCTTACCTATACTATTTTTATATCACAATCACAATTCTTATATGTATTGCACTCTATTATCTTCTAATATATCATTCATATATAGATAGGTTTATCTCCTCTTTCCATAAAGTTGAATTACTAATGCTTTTTTCATATTTTCTTCTATCTACAGATTTAAAATTTTATACTAACAAATCTTTAAGAAACGTTGGCCTTCCTTCTATTAAAATAAAAATCACTTAATTGCAAACATATCCAAATTCACCAATAGTTTCCTTTAGCATATCTTTCTCTACCAGTTTTTCATCTTCTTTATTATTAAAATTTGCAGCTTTTTTTACAATGCTCTTAACTGTCCTATTAATTGCAAAGTCAAAGTTTACACTAACTTAGCAGTCATTTTATTACAATTTAACAGATACAACTTCTTCTTAAAATAATTTCCTACCTTTAGATCCTTTTTAAAAATTAACAATCTCGTGTATTAGTCTTGTCTTTTGAACTGATTATAACCAATAACCTGGATGTTTTACTAATTAAAGTCAAAGTACATTTAGATAACTTCTTTAATAATAAAGTAGATGCAACAGCAAAAACAGCCCTAGCATCTTAAGCTTTACAACTGGATGCTACAGTTGCTCTTAAATATTTCTTTATATATAATAATCATCCTATTCTCGTTATAATAAAGCAATTTATCAAAAATGTATACTGTTATAAATATTTATAATAGTTCATTACCCTTCATATTATTACTAAATATCATTGCATCTTTCAACCTAACTAATTTATTACATCATTCTGCTTAAATGATAATATTGCCACTAATAATACTACATATATAACCTCTATTATAAGAAAAAAGAAATTCCAATAGCTGTTCAAAATGCTACCTCAGTAAAGGTCCTAAAATTAAGTCATCCCTCTCTTTTTCTGTTCTTGTCTTTATGCTTTCAGTGTGATATTACATATAAAGATTTTTATCACATCTGAACTTACTTTATGGTTGATTATGAAATGAAATTACTTATCTAATGCGAAAAATTTTTTCAAATTTATTATTAATGTACAAATTAGCAATATCAAAAGACTCAATTAGTGGAATTTATTGACCTCTTTTTTTTTTGTGATTTTTATCAAAGGAATTATTCCTATTAATCTCTTTAAATTTATTTACAACTACATTTCACACATGCCTATTACTTTAGTTGTATGTTTCTCCTTTATGCACTTTATTTTTGAAGAATCCCAAAGATTTTGGATTGAAAGATGTGCCTTTCAATCTAACATTGAAAAAGTTATAAATATTACCACCAATAACAAAAATGAGGATTTTGTCTTTTCTGATTTTAATCTTCCTTATGGTATTCTTAACATCAATAACAATATTAATCTAATTGACATCATGGTACAACTTAAATCCCATTAGACAAATTTTTGGTGTAGTAGTAACCAAGCTCTTTTCTGTTCTTTTTATTTTATTTTTTTAAAAATAATAGTTTTAGCTTAAGTTAGAATTGATTTGAAAAAGTACAAGATCAGTCTTCTTTAGATTAGTTTTTTCTTTTCTTTACAAGATTTTCATTTTTTCTTCTTGATTTGTATTTTATTTTTATATTATACTTTTATCATAATAAAGATTATATGAAACTACTACACTTTTTAAAAAAAAAAAAAAAAAAAAAAAAAAAAAAAACTAATTATTTATTTTAATATAAAGTAAAATACTTTAAAAATTTTACTAATTAAAGTTATTATAATATAAATTAATATAAAGCAAAAATTTCAATTTTTGGTAAAAAGGTTTCCAGAGCCCTATTTTCTAGCAAACTTCTTATATATAGATCTAATTAAATTATTATTGATTAAAATAATATAAGTAATTATTATTATAATAAATAAATAATATTAAGTCTAATGCTAATAATTTATATAAATAAAATTTTATAAATATTATTAAAATATATTATCTTGATCAATATTAAAATTTTTATAAAACTATTACTATAAGTATTACTAAATACTGAAAATATTTAACCTTTTGCTAATATTTAATTTTATCAGGTAAATTAAAATTAAAATATATCAATATTGATCAGTTTTTATGAAACAAACTATCATTAGAATTCTCTTGATAATACATCTACTAAGCTAGTTACCACCCATTTCTAAACACTAGATATTAAGGTCATCATAGTTTTATTTTGAGATTAAATATCTAAACCTTCTGCCTTATTATATATTAATAATTAAAATTGAAATATCAGACAATATAACTCCTTTTTTATGAAAATAATCACCATTAGATTCCTCATAATAAGACAGTTTTAATAGTCTAAAGTTATTGGTTGCAAATCCAAATTTTCCAATAGAAATGAAACATTGTATCTTTGAAAATCTAATTATAATATTTCATAAAAAAAATGTACCAAACGGTATCTTATTGTAAATGCTATACAGCTTGCTAGAATTTGTACAATCATGACAAAGATAGCTAATGTTTGTTCACGTAAAGGACCAAATCTTAGTAACAATAAGTTCAATAATGTAAAATTATTAATTTCAAGGTTATTCTCTCCAACTTCATTTATTTCAGCAAGACCAAATAACATAAATACTTTGAGCACAAGAAGCGTTAATGGCTTTAAGGGTTTTTGTATTTTAACTCTACTATATTCTAATTTTAGTGTTGATGGATTAAACCTTGAAGCGTTTTTTTATAGAAAGAAGGAAAAAAAAGAATTTAGAATTTATCTCGAAATGACTTTTTAACATGATAAATAAATACATACCTAGGTAACCGATGGCGCGGACAATCTATTAATCTAAATAGTTGCGGACAAGAATATATGAAATTGAATACCTGCGGGATAAAAAAAAGAAGCATAGTTTTGCTAAAATGGGCAAGTATTCCAACCACAGCAAAAGTCATTCCAGCGAAATAACAGTACGTGTCACCAACAAAAACGCGTGATGGGTACCAATTATGAAACAGAAGTCCAAACGAAACACCAATAAACGGCAATATAAAATACAAAGAAAACAAATGTGCTTCCACAGCCGGATCGGCACCATTCAAGAAGAGAAGATCGTTGATGGCTATTGAACACGCAATTATCAAGGATTGACCTATTTCCACTCCATTTATTCCAGCAAGAATATTAATAGAATTTGTGCAAAATATTGCAATCATACCCATGTATATATAATACAAAAATCCTAAAATAATAACGTGATTAGATGGTAAATCAAAAATAGTATGAACACGAAAGATTCACTTACCTAAATCCATAATTTTTCCAAAAACGAAGCGTAGAGGTATCGGTACCACTATGTGAGTAACACCAAAATTCACGTAATACACCATCAATATGGGTATAGAAGCGATAGCTGGCAACAACAGTTTATACCTCCATCTTATATCAAAAATATCATCGGCAAATCCAAGAAAAGTCATTGATTGAAGAGACAACATTGCCGACAAAAATTCGCCCAACTAATGAAAATAAATCGTTAATAATAAGAAACATAAAGAGTCTTAAGAATTTTTGGAAATACTTACTTTATGATGCGGGAAAGTTGGCACGTGAAATTCTTCACTTCGAGAAATTATACCTTTACCCGTAAACCATTCCATGAACGGAAACGGTATAAATAAGAATAGACATATAAGATAAACTGTTGCACATATAACTCCCATACTTTCGGGTCTTAAATAAATAATAGAATGAATGTGGTTAACTTGTGTCAAAATTATTTTGTAAATAAATTGTTATATCACCCACATTTTTGGTTTATCGACTTTAGCCAAGTCCCGCCCAGTCAAATTTGCTTTGACGAAGCATTCTTTAAAAGCAGATACAAGTTCCCAGGTTATGGCGCCACCTAAAATAGCGAACCCTGCAGAAGCTGATAACGGATGAGTTGTATTAAATATTATTGTTAATGCAAGGACTATGAGTGATAATGAAGTTAACATTTTATAAAAGGAAAGGATTATAAATTTAGTTTATAGAAGTAATTGTTGACTGCTATTTAAAGGTAATAACGTAATTCATTTAGTAGATCATTTTGCTATTTAAGTTGCAACTTTCTTTATTAATCTATCAAATACAAAAGGGTGAAACTGGCGGAAAAAATAAAAAATGAGTTAATGTTAAATCTGAACAATATTTTGGCTTGCAGAGATTCTATAACTTAAATGACAGTTTTTTTTTGTTTTAATAAATAGTTATTTAAATATTAATATATTTGAATAAATATTAATAATTTGAATTATTTAAAAATTTAATAAAAAAATTGATAATAGAATATTTTATAATCTTCAATAATTTAAAGAATACTTTTAATATTTGTTTAATACCAATTGATTTTTATTTAATGCAAAAAATTTTTACATATCATATATTAATATATAGAATTTTATTAAATTTAACAACATATATTTGTATTTATTCTTATTTATATTATAAAATTACATATAAATTATTATTATAAATTAATAATTTATTACATAAAAATATTTTTTGGTAATTAAAAAGAGCTATTTATAATTTTTTTCTTTAATTTGAATTTGATTAATATGTGTACAATATTATTACATAAGTTATACTTATTTTAATTTTAACTACTAATAACTTTATTAAATTAATTTAAAATTTTATTATGATTAATAAATTTTTTAATATAAAATTTTTTAAAAATTAAAAATTTTTAGTTTATAAGTAATTTTTTATAAAATTGAAAAATAAAAAATTATTATGATATAATATATGTTTATAAAATTAATTTAAAAAAATTTAATTTTTCATAAAATAAATTAGAAGAGAATTTATAGTAAATAAATAAGTAAATTTAGTTAAAAATTTTTATAATTTAATAGATAAATAATATAGAAAGAATCAGATTCTAAAAAATTTTTAATTAAAGTTATAAGTTTAATTTAATAACATCAAACTAAATGCAATTTTAATTTTAATTTTTTTAAAAAATTTATAAAATCTAATTTTTTAATTATCAATCTATATCATAATTTATTAAAGATAATATTAATATTTATATATTTTACTATTTGATAAAATAATAAATTTTAATAGTTAATTCATAATATATCTTTAAAAGTTGACAAAATATTATTTGCTAAATTTTTAATGAATATTAAAAAAGTTTAATCTTAAATATAATTATTAGAAATATACTTCAAAGTAAATTGAAGAATTACTAATTAAAGTATATTTTGATAAACAAATTATATTTTGACAGATATAATTATTTTATAATAAATGTCAAATTAATATAATTAATTTTGACATCATTAAAATTAATTAGCGTCAAAATATAATTAGAAAATTATATTAATTAAAAGTATAAATTAAATTAATATATTAATTATATATATAAAAAATTAAAATATATGATTTTAGTATTTTTATAATTTATATAAAATTGATTTATTATTTTCACATCTTTATTATATACCAATTCTATTTCTTTATATTAAATTTTTTTAAATTAGTAAAATAATAATACTTTTAAACTTATTAATACTAATAAAAAAAAAATTTTCTAATTAATATAATTTTAACTTTTTTTTAACTATTCTTAATTGCATTAAATATATTTATAAGTGAATTATTTAAATTATATAAAAATCACTTAAAGTAAAATTAATAGATTCATAATATGATATTGTTTGTATATTTATTATAAAAATATTAATATTAAATGTAAGTATGTAAGATTCTTTAGATAAATAAAAATATTATCAAGATATTTGATAGCATTTGGTTATTTAATAATTAAAATTGACTATTAATTTAAACTATTATAACATTTATAAAAATAAAGATAAATTCTGTTCAATATATCAGATATAATATATAAAAAGGTAAAAGAATATTTTAACTGAATAGTAATATATTAAATCAATATATCTATTATAAATAATTTCTGTTATATATAGATATATTATAAATCTAAGAATATGTATTTTTAATTTTACAATCCATTAATACTTGAGTAACAATTTATAATTTAAATTTTATCAAATACTACAAAAAAATTAATGATATTTTATAACAATTTATTTTGAAGTATTATTATCCTATCATTAAGAATTATATTACTATATTAATAAAAACTTCTGATTCATCTATAAGAGCATTTTAGTTTTATGATTTCAATTATAATAAGTTATTCAGTACAGATCATTTTCCTTTAAGATATTTGTAAAACTGTGATATAATTATTATTTATTTTAGTTTTAGCATGCAAAAACTTATTAATCTCCTTATAAAAGTCTTCTTTTTGTTATATTTTACTTTTAATATACGCTTTTATAATTAATGGTTTTAACCGGTTATGAATACATTCACTGAAATATTATATAACATAGGCTTTATTTGCTCAGAATGATATAAAATAGGATTCAAATTATGTCTAAACTGCACGCTGGTTTTTTCTGGTAAGGAAAGTTAACCTAAATTTATTTATAAAGTCAAGAAATTTACTGTACTACCAGAAATATTATCTTCTTTCGAGAAATCTTTAATAACATTATCAGGCTAGCATATTTTTTATACACACCGTATGAAATGTACGAGTTATTAAATTCTAACCATTCGCCAACTTTTGCATACTTTCAAGATTAAAAGTAACACTTCTATTGTAATTTGACCAGAATTGAGAAAGGATGACTATGTCCCGATTGTATTCATTTATTTCCTGTAAAATAAATTGAATTATTTATTAAAAGGAAGAATAGATGTTACGAAAAAATTTCATAACATACTTGGATTCGGTTATTCATATCTTCCAACACATCATTAAGTTTTTCCTTTTTTCAGATTTAAAAATTAAATTTATAAGTTAATTGGTTAAAACCTTCGCTTAAGAGATATATATACTTACGACGTTTTTAACAATTCTACTTAATAACATTCTTTGTTGTTCTTCGTGAGGGTTTTCCATATTTTCTTTAAAAAGCGACAGGGTGATCTGAAACGCGTAACAATGTCCACTCAAAACCCATACGTTCAAGTTTCACAAACTAAATGGTATAAGCCACCCAAATTTTTTTGATATAAATACACGGAAAAAATGACTGTTTGCTATTTTTGTTCAAAGGATATCAGAAACAAAAGTTATGGATGAAATGAAGAAAACTTATCACCCTTCACAGGATTTCCGGAAAAGTCGAGAAATTATCTCTGAATCCAAGTACGATTAATATTATTAATATTTTTTAAATTTATTGATATATTAATATGTTGAATATGTTTATTAAGGATATTTGAGCATGGAAAGCCTTCTAATTATACATTTGAGAATGAAACTTATGACATTCCCTCGGATGCTTCCCACTCTCAGAAGTTTGAAAATTCTCGTATTACTTCCCCAGATATCAAAGTCGAGAAATTTATTAAAATTGAAAAATCAGATGTCTCTCTAGATACGCAAATGGATATCGATGATACCTTTCCAGCGGATGTATGTTATTCAATTTCGATTATACTTAATAATTAAATTTATATATATATTTTATCAATAACTAGTAATCTACATTAAATATTTTTGACAGGCTAAAGGAGACGATATGATGAACATTGATACTGTTCCTCCGCTATCTAATCAACCAGCCATCCCAAATGAGCACGAGGTTTAAATTTATTACATATATATGCTAATTCATTTTACGGATTAATTCAATACGTTAAATTTTATAGCTCAATATGGAAGATTTGACTTCCGAAAAATTACAAGTTAGAATTCATGTAAATATTAATGTTCTCAATGATTTCTTAATAATATTTAAGTGATCTACATTGACCTCACTTTGTCATAGGTATTACGTCGATTTACAAAATTATTTCCATACATGCATGATTCAAAAAAGGAAAGTTTATATGATGATCTTAGAAATTTATTAGATACTGAGTATGATAAAGATGTTAAGGTTAGTAAATGGTTATGAGATTTTTATTATTATTAACAATTAACAATATCTTTAATTGATTATCCATGTATTAATAGATTCTTGTAATAATACTTTTGGGTAAATTGGCCCTTGATCCGATTGTTAATTGTGGTAAAGTACTTGAGGATTTTATTAATCAGGTATTTAAATAAAAATTTCTTTTCAAATCATATATACATATTTATTTTATTAATAATTTATAGATGCAATCAAATTCTACCGAACTGAAATGTAAAATATATGACACAATTATTAGAATTTTGCAGGTACGTAACGTATTAGCATATTACATTCTGCATTAAAGTTGAAATTTAACTTTATTTTATTTAAAGGCAAGGATTGAAAATGTCCTACAAATGCCAAAATTAAACAACGCGTTGAAATTTCTGTGTGCGCGGGTGATTAATGAGCTAACCGATTCACATTACAGTATTAGATCATCTTGCATTAGTTTACTCGCATCTATAGCACCTATAATTATTCGTGTTAAATTGATGCAAGAGCATAGTAAAGAACAAGAGTATCTAAATGAATCACAGATTCAAACTATAATTCGTGACTTTGGAGAAGATCCCGATCCACGTGTTCGAAGTGTAAATATCATTATCAATTTTGTTTCGATTTTTTTTTTTTAAAACTTACGATTTCTTTATAATAGAGTGCTCTCAAAGCACTTCTTCAGCTTTATAATTGTGGCTATAAACTAGATATGTCATTGTACAAATTATGTGTTGCATGCTTGACGGATGACTACGAAGAAGTTCGGATTGAGGCTTTAAGCTTGATTTGGTAACATGCTTTCGTATGAAGGTTTTAGTTTATTTACCTCTTAAAATCTTTTGTTAATCATACAAATGTTTTTAGGGTATTAAGTAGCATTCATCATGAAAGAAAATTAAATGATGGGAGCACGCGTCTTATCGATGATGCATTTATTAAAATTTGTGATATGGTATGTGATGAATCTGTAAAGGTTCGAAGTAAGGTGAGATAAAATATCGGCAATAATCCAATATAATCAAGTTAGTAGTTGGGGAATTAACATTCAGTATTGAAAATAATGGTTCTTTACAGAATTTGCTCAATCAAGTTGGGCTCTTATTTCAAACAGGCATGTAATATAATGGGACGTTATAAACTCGTTGAAGACCCGATTTTACTATCAACTTTGAGTCAACAAGTTATATCACACGGAAAACCTCGTAAGCCAATGTTTAAAAAAGTAGGTTTTGAACTTTTTATTATAAAATTCTGTATATAATATGATAAAGAAAAGTCAATTTTCTAACATGTTTAACTTTTTTCGATCAAAAAGTCTAGGTATATTCCAACTCCTGAAGGTGATATCGATGTCGAATCAGCCGAAGTTCGACTTTTGAAATCAAGTGCGAATGGAGCATTTATTCATGGATTAGAAGATTCTTTTCAAGACGTTCGTAATGCTGCGATAGGTATTCATAGTTAGTTTATTATTCTTTTATTAGTACATTATGGATATCAATTTTTTTCCTTTTTATTATAGATTCCATTTGCGAATTAAGTATGCATAATCAAAAATTTTCAAAAAGAGCCGTGGAATTCCTTGTAGGTAAATAGTCGCAATTTTTTTTATTAAAATATGTTTTTATTTCGATATAAATTGTTTAAAAACTTCTTTACATAGACATGTTTCAAGATGAAATTGATTTTGTACGGCTGAATTCAATTATCAGTCTTCGCAAAATTGGTACCCTTCAGCCTATCGAATTGGATTCCGAATTGTTGCAAATTACACTAAGTGTACTTAATGATGCAGACCCTATTGTACGAGAATCAGCGCATGGAATGTTAGGGTAATTAATAAAATTATCTCTTTTGGAAATTTTATAATAGATTATGCCAAGGTCTTTAATAGCTTTTCTCTCCTATATTAAGTGTTGTACGAATTACCTCGCCAGAATTAATACCGTCATTCATTAAAGATTTAATGGCAAGTATGTCCCGGTATCCGGAAGATCAATTGTCGATCTATCAATGTTTCCGTGATTTTGGTTCTGTTCATGGGGAATATATAGGCAAGACTATTTTACATTTAATCACATTTTACATTTTTATTTGTCATTATCATTTCGTTTCTAACCTTTATAATGGGTTCTCTTTTCTTCACAATTTAGAGAAGTTTATTCCTAAATTTTTCAAGATGGAATCAAGTTATATTTCAAAGGAAATTAATCAGAATGCCCCTGAACGTATGTTGAATATTAAAAATAACTTCATTACAAAAATTTTTTTATAAAATGGTAAAAATTTATTTAATTGTTTATTAGATATAGGAAATTTAATACTTGCATTTAATGCTTCGGTCTCAAATCCGAAGATATTATCCATCTTACCTAAATATGCGTTTAGACATTATGAGTATCTTAGAGACAAATTTCCCAATTGTTTTCCAGAAGTGAAGGTCTGTATCGGTTCTTAGTTTCATCATTTCAAATTAATAAATTTTTGTTATATATTTAATATATATATATATATATATATATTGTTTAGATTCCGGGTGATGCACCACGGCAAAGTATTCGGGTCAATGCAGATGGTAGGAGTTGTATTTATAGTAATTATTTTATTTTTATAAACAAATATTTAGTCATGAAAAATTTGATAGATAATACCCAATCATTTATGAATCAAACCATAACGATGGTGTTTTCTATGGGGAACCTTTTCAAAACTGGTGATTTCAAGGCTGCATTGCGCGTTATAAAAGTTTGTACAAAGTATGTTAATATGCTGAACATATGTAACTCCTTTTATCTTATCTTGTTGTCTTACTTATTTATTATGATTTATTTCCTAGTAACTTAAAATATATATCACGTGTACCATCGCTTTCTGGTAATGCGATATTTATTACCATGTATTTAGATTGTGTGCAAACGATAATACAGGTATATATAATTTTTTTCAGGTAAATTAATTTTAACTTTTTTTTTTAAACATGAAGAATATTTATAAATATTATGATCATTTCAGGCTAAACAAAGTTACTTTGAAGCAAATTCCTTTACAACTGCACAAGATACAGCAGCGCGATTGTTAGCATTTTCTTACATTATGGAACATAGGTTTATCGGACTTTCGATTCCGTCAAAAACTTTTGTTGTCTATTTGAGAGTGCTAGCAAATATTGCATGGATATTTGGTTGTTTAACGGAGGCTAATAATAGGTTGGTTGGTTAATTTTTTTTATTTTTTTTTTTAATGTATTTATTTATATTCATATATAATTTACTATTTTCATAGTCAAGGGTTATCATTGTTGAGTAAGAAAGGCCTTTTACAATTCTTTATTAAGCGAGTGTCAGATTTGCAAAGGTATAATATAAAAATTATGTGCTCTTTTGTAAAGAGAATTGTAATTATTGAATTCAACTTTATATTCTTAGAAAATTTGAACGTGACTCTTTTCTCTTAAAAGACCTGGAAAAACTTCAAAAAAAGCTAGTTAAAGCCAGCTTATCTCCTACAATTGAAAATGTAATATCATTGTTTGATTTTATAATGGTAAATGAATTTCTAATATATATCTCTATTTACATTGAAGTATTATAATTTATTTACCTTAATAAAAAAATATATTGGTCCAACATAATATAGGATTACAATCTTATTGATATTGAATTAAGTGATGATATTAAAAGATCTGAGGCCACTATCATTAGACCAGTTTCAAATCCGGATCTGCCACTTGAATTTCCATCAGAGTTTCCTTTCACAATCTTTATTGAAGCCGAATTACGGAATGTGGTAGATGCAACTTCTACTGCAGTTCAGGTCAGCGAGTTTATAATCCTTTGGTTTCAATCTTTAAAGATTATTAAATTTAACTATTATCATTGTTTATTAATACGATAGGTCATATTTCCCGATCAGATAATTGAGCATTTTAGACCACCATCGGCAGATTTCGTTCATACCGAACCGGATAAACTACAATTGAGAACGCAAATTGACATTTCTCAACCCGCATGGTCCGGTAATATAAAAATTTAAATTAATTTCATTTTTCTTATATTTATATTTAAAACGCGCTTAATCTTGTTCATCTTTATTATTATTTATTATATACAACAGAGTCATGTTTTATTCAACTTAATATAGTGCGTGATTTTGAACCAGACATTCCTGAATTGGATCAACATATAATGCGTCAGAGTGTTAATAATGGAAATATTAATGGAAGTATCTCTGAAAATACCATAGATCTTTCAGAACCAGTCAAATATTACATATGGCCAAGAGATTCATCATCCAAACGAATACGTTAAATATTTTAGAATTTTTATATAGACCCTTTAATATTGTGTAAGAATATTTTCGTTTACTATTGTACAAGATATGTAAATGTTTGGTTTTGAAATTTTTTTTTTCATTAATTTCATCAAGTGTTTGTTAGCTTATCAAAATTGAATTCGTTTAAATAAAGATGTTATTTATTTACGTAAACAAATTTTCGTGTTTGAGGTATCAAAAGTCACCGGGCACTTAAAATTAGAAAATCGACGAAAGTAGCTATTTCAAATTAAACTTTTTATTTTATTAATTAAATCATTCTTTGGTGCAATAAGTTAAGTTGTGCATCATAACGAAATACACATTAATATTTTTATAAATTTCCAATCAGTAACAAATTTTATATTCAGTATTTTAAGTGACATTTTCGTGTATTAATACAAGTTTTCAGTTATAATTAAACATAGTATAGTGGCTATCATCTATAAACCATTACTAATATTGTGTAACTCTAAAATTTATAAGTAGAGAATAAAGTAATAAAGTATAAATTCAAACTGATAAAATGATAAAGTAAAATAAGCTGAACATTTTTATCGGTTTATTTTTTAAATTATTTAGTTTAAAATTAGGTAATTTCTTATATGATGTATATGCTAAATAGGCAAATTTCAGACTAGAAATCAGAAATTATATGAAATTTAGATATATTTTTATAGATTACATTTCAATTTCCTGAATGCCATTTTCTGAATAGATGATTTTCTAAAAATCTTGGGTAGAGTTATTATAATGCAGGCTAAAATTTTCGGGAAAATATTTTTTAACATCTGATATCGATTTTCATATGATTAATATATGATAAACGTATTTTCATTTTTCTCATACATTTGATCATAACCTGCCTATCAAAAAAAAAATTAATACAAAGAACAAGAACAAGAAAATAACAGAAGGTTTATTAAAAAAAGTACAGATCATTAATAATTGGAAAGATAATAAAAATAGTGATTAGAATGATTATAATAATAGTTAGGATAACCATAATAATGATTATGATGATCATGATAATAATTAGGATGATGAGTTTGTTTAATAAAAAAAAAGTTGGAATTAGTTAATCAAATGATACACATTTAGAAAAAAAGTATAAATCTTACTTTACTAAAAAAATCAAAAAATCAACTTATTTTAATAAATATAAGCCAAGTGATTTTTTTACAAAAGCTACAAAAGGAATCACAAAATTAATATTTTTAAATAAAAATTTAGTTTTAAATGACTTTGATGAGATTTTAGATGAATTAGAAAATAAACAAGATAATCAACTTGATTTAAATAAAAAAATTATAATTAAAAAGGAACTTAAAGAATAGTAACAATTATAAACAATAACTGAATCTAATAAAAAAGCGCTATTTTTGAGTATTTAAATAGATTGGATAATAATAGAAAGGAAAAAGCAAAAAGCTAGTATTAAGTTATATATCTGGTTTTTATTAAAAGTATGCTGTATAGAGTATGAAGTATCCAATATTAAACTAACTATTAGTTTCAATATAATCATCTTCTAATAAGTCACTAAAGTAAGTATCAAAAAATAATATGATTAATTAATAATGAAGATATAGTGAAAAAATGCAATATATAGATTTAATCTTAAAGTGAAATAATCACTATGTTAAATTTCAAAAAATTTGTTAAATAAAACCTATTTATTAATTCAGAAATAATAAAAAAAATCATAGGTATAATAACTGCTATATACTAGCTTAATATATTTTAATATTTTTTTATAAAAATAAGGTAAGATAAATTAATATTAAATAATAAAAATTTTAATAAACTAATTAATTAATTTACATTTATTTTAAAGTAGATATATTATGATAATCATAAACATTTTAATATTATAAGATATCGACAAAGTTTTTTAAATGAAACTTATGATTACAAAAAAAGTATAATAAAATATGAAGGTAAATTATGAAATAGATCCACTAAAATTAAGATCTAGTATAAAGGAAGTAATTCTGATAATACATGATGAATGTGTATTCTACTCTAATGATGAAACCTGAAGCATATAGGTAAAATCCAAAGAATTACCATTACATAAGAAAGAAATGAATATTCTATTATAGTTAATAGATTCTTTATAAAAGAATATAATTAACTTAAATTGAATTTATAACAATATTAAGAAAATTCTTTTATACCTAAAAAAGCTTAATGTATTTTCAATTAGAAAAAATTTAGAAAAAATATTAAATAAATGAACATTTAATCAAACAAATTGAAAACAAAAGTTATATCAATTTTTAAAACAATTTTTTCAAACTGTATTGCTTTATTTATATTTGATTACAGTTTAAACTATGTAGCATATAGATATGCACTCATGATAAATAAGATGAATCTAAAACCTAAAGGCAGATAACTGAAGATAAGAGACTCATTTTTTAGATAAAATAATTAGTATCAATCAATAATTAATGAAAATAATAAATTAAAAAAATAAAATAAGTATTAATCAAGCGTAGATTATAAAAAAATAGGTTTAATGCTAATTATCAATTATTTAAAAATAAGGTAGATAACATAAATCAGTCAGACTGTTATACAAAAAGAATAATTTTATTACAGTCTGATTTTCTATTCCAAAAAAGTATTTTGAAAGAAGTAATATTAGAGATTAAATATAAGTGTATTTTTTATCTGAAATTTCATTGTAAACTAAATTATATTGAATAATATTAGAGTCAGTGTATAAAATTCATGTGCATAAAGTGCACATATGCATATTAAATTTTGTGTGCACATATTACATAGCATAAAATGTGCATAAATAATTACTAAAAATAGATAAATTATATATAAAAATGAATAAATTATTTATAAAAATGAAAATACTATATAATATATGCATAAATTTTCTATTTTTAATATAACTTATACATATGATTTTTGATGTAAATTTTATATATTGATTAGAACAATAAAAAAATATACTTAAAAAAATTGTAAATATTCTTAACAAGGCTTGTAACGTATTGTTTCTATAACCTTAAAACCTGTTAATATCATTTTAATTAAAAGATTTACTAAGAAGGCTTATAGTTCTATAGATTTATATAAAAAGGAATCATTGGTAAATTGACAAAGTATGCTATTAAAAAGTATAAATTTCACTGATATATTTGTATTGGTAGAATTAAATAAAATGAAATAATAAAAAAATTATCTATATGCTATATAATTTTGATAAAATCATCATTTAAAATTTTGAACTAATATAATTTATAGATAATAACCATCATAATAATCTATTTTATTTATTAATTAAACTTGTTCTTCATATTAATAAATATATATTTTCAAAATTTCATACTATTATATTTATATTTGTGAAGATCAAATTTATAAAGTATAAAATTTAGTAAAATTTTAAAAAAATTAATATTCATATGATTTGTGACTAATATTAATTCAATCTATATATATATAAATTCAATTAATTAAAACTAATTAAAAAAAATATTTTTTTTAATATAATTAACAAGTTAAATTAATAAAATATAATAGGTTACAACTAAAAAATTTAATATTTATTATAACTAAAATTTTATATTAATATATAAAAATATTGCATTAAATTTATAATATAAATTTTACTACTAATTAAATATCTATAAAAACTTTAACACATATGTATTTCATTATAACATACATCTTTACTTATTTTATAAAAATTGATTTAATAATAAAATAAATATAGTCAACTCTTGTTATAACGAACTCTATGTCCTAGACCTCAACTTCGCTATAAGGCTATAGTGAAGATTTTAAG